TAATTCGCCTCGGTAAAAACGGATAAACTTTGTTTTTAATATCCTCCTCCTTTTTATCTCTAATAGATGCCTGCTGTATGTACGCTGCAGCTCCTCAAACATTGAACAAAACAAAACAAGTAAAAGCATTTTTTTTTTTCAAATTACTTTCCAAATTTAGAAATAATTTTCCTTCATTTAAGTAGTGTGAGAGCGCAATGATGCTCTAAATGTGTTGGCATAGCAACGTGATACTTCCGGTTTCCTTTTCCGCCTGTCCTACGAAGGCCGTCTCGTTTAATTCTAGGTTGAGGACACTTCGTATATGCATCCTACAGAGGACCTCGACCTCCAGAGGATTCGACCTCCGGAGGGTGCAGCCTTCTAAATGAGACACAGCTACTGTCTATGGTGAGTGCATCAGACTAGACGACGAAGAAGAAGTGCTGCTGCAGAGTTTGTGCATCAGAGAAAACGAAGAAGAAGAGCTGCTGTGCTGTAGCTGCAAATTTTCGGCATGTCTAGAACAATTCTTACAAATACAACACGACGTAGCTGGGCGCCGCGGACAGACGGCGAACGGCGCCGCCGGTGTGCCTACACTCAGAAAATAATGTATTTGAATTTCAAAGATGTGGCGCGACGCGATGCTGCGCTTCTCGTCCGGTGCGCGACCGCCTGAAACGCTGTTTTTTTCAGCGTTTCACCAATCACAACACATTTTGTTTTTCGGAAGGCGGACCTTCAGCAAAGCCGGAACTAATCGAGCCGTTAGTGCCAGGCTGGGGAGAAAGGTATTTTAATAATGTAAATTATGTGAAAAATAATGCGTTTTTCGAACCATCAAGCATGAGAGCATGTTCTAGTACACCCCCAAAACAAAATCAAGACTTTGTAAAAGAGCATAATAGGACCCCTTTAATACTGCCACCACACAGACAGTAGTGCATGACAGACAGCCAGGGGCCACTATATGACAATCACATTTCTGACACTGGCTGGAATCCCCCTCATGTCAGTAGAAACGCCCATCTCAACAGCAGGAGGGGCGTCAGTCCAGCAAAGAAACTTCCCAGAGCTGCGAGGAAACATCAGAAAGTCGCTCTAGCTCCTCCAGAATGAGCTTTTGGAACTTACGTCGCTAAAGGAATACGGTTTCCCGCTCAATAACATCTCCTGAGCACATCCTGCGCTTGATGTGTTTTTTTATCACCACGAACGACGGATTTGTTTAGTAGGCAGCTGCCTTTCTTCATAGTTTTAACGGACCACTGTGTTCGCTTTGCTGGGGAAGGACCTCTTCAGTGTGCACGCCTTTACAAATGTCTTTATAATGGAGGAAAATGCTTATTGTGTTTCAGCTTTTTCCTTTTAGAGTTTGTTTTAACCGGTGAATATTCACAGCAGCTGTTTGCCGGCGCCAGCTGAGTCTTCTCCATGTAGGTTTTGTATAAAACATTAAGTAAAGTTCTTTGGCACTTTAATGAATAGGCTACATCAGGTGGTAACTAATCGCGTTCGAGTTGGAAAGGATGGCTGGCGTGGTGCGCACCCTGAGCCGGTGTCTGCTGCCCGCTGAGGCCGCTCACGATGACAGGAACAACGAGAAAGGACGAGGAGCCCGCGAGCGCGATGTGGACCAGGAGCGCAAGGCGAAGCGGCGCAGTCGCGAGATCGATGCCATGCTCGCGCGCGAGAAGCGCTCGGTACGGCGTCTGGTGAAGATCCTGCTGCTGGGCGCCGGAGAGAGCGGCAAATCCACATTCCTCAAACAGATGAGGATCATCCACGGAAAAGAGTTTGACCAGAAAGCGCTGCTCGACTTCAGGGATACGATCTTTGAGAATGTCATCAAGGTAACGGTCTCAAGTTTGCGCGAGGTTTGGTTGTTTCTGACGCCAGAGTTGTCTGTTTTGTTTGTCAGCAGTTTTGTGAATTTGCGGCGTTTCGTTTATAAATTCAACTTGAATTAACTTGACTAGATAGGGAACATATTATTTATTAAAGTTGTATAGATAGATAGATAGGTTAATCTAAAATGCCACCCTTAGAAATTTGTAGTTTATATATTTAAGCAGAGGCAGACAAAGTACTCAACTCCATTACTTGAGTGGAAGTACAGATACTGCTGGTCAAATATTACTCCATTACAATAAAAGTTGTAAAGACCGATTTTTACTTAAGTAAAAGTACAGAAGTACTTGCTTTTAAAAGTACTTAAGTACCAAAAGTAAATTTCCTTTTTTATGTCAATGCACTGTTTTATTGTTGTATGTAATACTTGTAATACTTCTGAAGCAACTTACAATACATTACACCTGCTGAATACACTGACTAGCTTGTAGTATCTTTGGAATAAAGAGCTTTCCTAGTGGGAAAAACTAAACAAAACCACAACAAAAAAAATATTATTTAACACCCCTACCCACAAAAGCAGGATGGTAGTGATCTCAATCACCCACTGACTTTCAAAGCTGCTACATAGTAACGACTTTCTACTTCGAGGACCTTGATAGAAATGTAGTGGAGTGAAAAGTACAATATTTGTCTTTCAAATGTAGTGAAGTTAAAGTCATAAGTTCCCAGAAAAAATAATACTCAAGTAAAGTACCGATACTCAAAAAGTGTACTTAAGTACAATACTCAAGTAAATGTACTTAGTTACTGTCCGCCTCTGTATTTAAGAAATGAAAGAAAAAATAAACCAGACAGACAGATTTGAAATGCCATCTATAGACATTTTCAGCATATATATTTCATTAAAGAGATCGATTAAAAAGGAATAGGTAGGCAGGCAAATGGATGGACATGTAGTTAGATAGATAGCCTATGAAATGTCACCTAGGCTATATACATTTGTATTTAGTTTATATATTTCATCATAAGAAATTAAAATGAAAACATAGCTGGGTGACTGTATGGATGGATAGATAGATAGATAGATAGAAAAATAGATAATTAATAATCTTAATAAAATAAAACTGTTGTATTGCATCAAAACATATTAAAATGATGTTGTGTCAGGTTGTTTAGTTATTCTAAGGTCAACAAGACCAAGTTTCCTTGCCCAAACTTGCTTGTTTCCTGCTGAGACATACGCTTTTGTCACAATAAGTAAAACAAACATTCCCCACAGAAATGGGAAACACAAATAAATGCATCTCTGCATTCAGCATAATTAATACTTCCCCAAAGTTTGTGCTTCAGCCATCAGAAAGCGCTCACATGATCTCCCATCACATGTACATAAACCATCTTACACTGTCATACTAACAGACTCACATGAGTTTAGGGCTGCACGATTGCGATTAGAAATTCGATTAATTGTGCTGCCCTACATGAGTTTTTTCTTTACATATTAAATTAACGTAATTCTAGATGTCCAGAACAGGTTTTGAATGCCCAATCCATGTGAAAATGTTCACTTTTCCTCTTATGTATCTAGCCTAATTCTTTTTGCTGTTAGTCATGTGATGGTTGCTTAGACATCTTCTCTACTGCAAAGCAGAATCCCAAGGGATTATTCCTGGGTCATTTCCCTGTAAGCACGTCTATTTAAGATGTCTGTGTTTAATAACAGTGGCTTGACTCACAGCTCGGAGTTAACGGGAAAGGAGTGAAAATGCATCCCAGAATGTGTGCGAGATGAGATAGTGGGCCTGGGGCTGTTGGAGTTACTGAGGAACAATGTTTGGCCTTTCTGGTAAAAGCAACCTTTTCATAAACCAGTAATCACAAATAAGCATCTTAACATTTGCAGGCTGGCAGATGTTCTCTCGTAATTACCACAAGACTAAGCTTAGCTGTCCTTACAATTAGCAGTACATGGAGTCACTTTATTTGGTCTAGGTTCATCCCTCGCTCTGTTAACAGAGAGATTGTGTCTGACTTATCATTGTGATCAGCTCATGTGCTTTCTGAGCTCACGTGTCTTTGGATGTCTCAATATGTCCTGATTTTCCCCCTATCTGTTTACGTTCTGCACTTGTGTCTTCCTCTCTTTATCTCTTACTTGGTTCTACATTTGGTTTGGGAAGTTTACTGATGGCATCTGATGTGATCATAGTGAAGCCTTTGAGATTAGCTGCTGATGGCAGAAGACTCTAATTACAGCCTGCATCTATGTTACAATAGGGATAGAGAAGATCTAACATTCTTTTAATGTTGTTCAATACGTCTATGTGCTTAACAAGCACTAGCTGACTGAGTCAGAGCTTTCCTGTGCTGTTTATTTATGAAAGAGCTTTGTTAAAAAAGCAGATGATTGTGTATTGTCTTGTCACTGTCATCTTTATTTGGTACTTGTGTGGATGAGATGTAATTATATGGATCAATGACAATGCATAATCATTTGTCTTATTTAATACTTTATTAAAATACATGAAAAATTCATACAACAGGCAGAAACATGCAGAAAACATTAAACAGGCAATTATATTGTAGTGAGGACCCCTACAGACTCTCATGACTGTGTATCAAGGCCAAAAAGTCTTTTAAAATATCAGACGATTTGACCTTTTTTGACAAGACTGTTAGTTCAGGATATGAAATGTCATGTGGCGCAACGTCCCAAAAAGTAAGGATAAAATATGAATGAATAATTCATGATAAATAGATAGATAGAAAGATAATATGCATTTTTGAAAATAATGATTAAGATTTGTACACTTACATGTATTCAAGGTGTAAATAACGTTTACATGTTGACATTTTAGAGTCATTAAATTAAAACTTAAAAAAAGTTTTTCAAACCAACTTGAATATAATTGGATTACATTTCTAGGAACCTGGTACATGTGTTGTCATTGTTCCACATATAATAAATGCTTTTCTTCTTGAACATAAATATGTCTGTATTCTGGCAAACTATGATGTTCATTTATTCAGTGGGAAGCTGAAAGGATAAATATTTCTATCCTTGGTCTTGTTATTTTACCCACAGTTTGGTCAAAAGCAGTGCTGCCAGATCAGAGGTTTGGCTTTAGTGGAAGAGGTTTGCTTTATATGGAAAAGGTTATGTTTCTCAAGATGTCAGAGCAGAGATCCACATGTTCCATCTCCATTGGTCTTGTCCACCAAACATTTAGCCAAACTGCCAGACATCACTTCATGCATCCTTCCCACAGCCAGAGAAATGTGTAAGCTATTGTCCATATAGTTTTCAGGACTCCAGGAGCCCATGTTGTACAGGGACACGACTGAGGCAGAGCCAAAAGATTCACTTTGTTTTCAACTGGGACTGATTGCGATCAGATCCTCTTCTAACCCACCCGGGGAGCAAAGCAGCAGAACTGAGCATTCTTTGTGTTGATGATGTTTATTTTCAATAAGACCCCTTCACCACAAAGTGACTAGTGAGCTGAGAAAAACATTATAATGTTTCTTATATCTTTCATTAACTTCAGAGGCAAATGATGAGGCCTGTGTTTTGGAGCATCTACGTGTATACGAGAACTTGAAGTCAGTTTTATGACTAACCACACTAAATGCCCTAAATGT